TGCCTCAGCCTCCCAAGTAGCTGGGACCACAGGCACCCGCCACAACGCCCGGCTATTTTTTGGTTGCAGCCGTCATTGTTGTTTGGCGGGTCTGGGCTGGATTTGAACCTGCCACCTTAGGTGTACGTGGCTGGTGCCTTAGCCACTTGAGCCACAATCGCTGAGCCAGCACCTGGTTCATTTTAATAATACTTTCTTTAATCTGACTATGAGAAAAAAATAAATCTAAATGTGCGAGACACATCCTATTTCCACTGGGTGGCAAGACACAAGTTACCTGTGACTGGGGAGGGATTCTCATTTTCTCTGTGACATGTCTTTATAACAATTGAACTGTATGAGGTTTTGGTTTTTGTCTTGTAACTTAAAAATAAAAGATAAGGAAGATACACATCCCAAAATCAGAAATGAAGGAATTGCAATCAGCTATTGCATAACTGATAGAGGTAGGAGGCATAACCAGTGTTGTTGTTAAGGAGCTGGGAAGTCGTCGCCCTCCACCCTGGGAACATGTTTACATGGACTTTGAAACTGTCCACTTTTTATAACAAACTGAAGGACAAAAAAGAACAAAATGTACTGAGGTTGCTTTTATTCCAGGAACTCTATGAGCTCCGCTTGGACACCGCAGGCACCAGCTTGTGCCACGGGACCCACAAACAACAGCACCATGAGGGCAGCCCCCATGGCCCCTGGGAGCCCTGCTCCTCCAGCCAGTCAATGTGACTGGGTCCGCCAATGAGGCCGGCCTGGCCATCCCCAAGTGGTCCCTTTGCATCCCCCACTCCTCAGGCGGGCAAGGAGTAGGATTCAATGTCCCTTGGTCCCTCACTTTCTGGGGCCAGTACATGCCCTGGGGCCCTGTTCTCGGAGGACAATGCATGCAGCTCCCCATGCAGAAAAGGGGCCTACTGAGTCATGGTCTTCCTCTCTGTCTATGAGGCTCCAGAAGGCCTCCATTTGGATCCCCTGCTTGGGAAGGGAGTGACCATTTCTGGGCTAGAGCCAAAGTCCCCATCCTCTGTGAGCCTGAGACCAGGCCCCCTCCAGGAGACTAGGATGCTGCTGCAGCCACTGTGGGCTGGATCAACATGGTGGTAGCCTGCAGTGGGTAGTATCGGCCTCGCCAGTTCTTCCAGAAGATTCCCTTCTTACGCTGCTGCCGTTGCCGAGGAATGGAGTGGAAGTACTGGCCATTGAGGTTGGAGTGACTGCAGGTGCCAAACCACCAGCCACCTGCCCGGGTCAGAGGAGAGGGAACTTTATCAGGACCAGTAGGGCAGGGAGGAGATGGGGTGGGGATAGAGGTAGGACAAGGCTGGGCTTCAGACTTTATGATTTATTTATTTATTAAAAAGCTTTTTAATAGATAGGGTTTCATTATATTCTCCAGGTTGGGCTTGAACTCAGGGGCTCAAGTGATTCTCCCACCTCAGTCACCAGAGTAGCCAGAACTACAGGAACCCACCACCACAACTGACTTTTTTTTTTTTTTTTTGAGACACAGTCTCACTCTGTTGCCCTGGGTAGAGTGTAACGGCTACATCATAGCTCACAGCAACCTCAAACTCCTGGGTTCAAGTGATCCTCTTGTCTCAGCTTCCCCAGTAGCTGGGACTATAGACTATAGGCCCATACTGCCCTGCCTGGCTAATTCTTTCTGGTGGAGAAGGGAGTGTCATTCTTGCTCAGGCTGCTCTTGAACTCCTGACCTCAAGGTATTCTCCTGTTTCTGCCTCCCAGAGTGGTAGGATTACAGGCATGAACCACTAAATCTGGCCACATCCAGCTAATTTTTAAAATATTTTTGAGGTCTCATACCTATAATCTTAGCAGTCTTGGAGGATAAGGCAGGTGGATTGCTTGAGCTCAGGAGTTCAAGACCACTCTGAGCAAGAGCAAGACCCCATCTCTAAAAATAGTTGAGTGTGGTGGCAGGCACCTGTAGTCCCAGCTACTCAGGAGGCTGTGGCAAGAAATCACTTGAGCCCAAGAGTTAGGGGTTGCTGTGAGCTATGACACCACCACCCTCTACCCAGGGAGACAAAGTGAGACTCTGCCTCAAAAGTAAATAAATAAATACAAGTAAAAATAATTTTTTTGTTTGTTGTTTTTGCTCTGTTGCCCAGGGTGGAATGCAATGGTGTCGTCATAGCTCACTAAAGCCTCAAAATCCTCAAGTATTCTCCCAATTTAGCCTCCTGAGTAACTGGGATTATAGGTCCATGCATGCCTGGCTAATTTGCCTTGTTTTTTATAGAGGTAGAGTCTTGCTATTGCCTAGGCCAGTCTCAAACTCTTGACCTCAAATAATCCTCCCACCTCAGCCTTTCAAAGGGTTAGGATTACAAGTGTGAGCTACCATGTCCAGCCTAACATCATTTTTTAACCTATAAAGAAGAAATTTCAAATGTTTAACCCGAGCTTTGCCTTTACTTTCACATAATAACCCTATGGAGTGGGCACCATGGTTATACCCATTTTAAAGATGAGCAAACTGAGGCTGAGCACATCACAAATGAAGAGATGGGACGATAGATGTGATTGGGTTTGAAGGCAGGGCAGGGTGGCATAAGGGAAGGAAGGGAAGCCCTGGCCAGTGGGTCATGGCAGGGAGGATGGGGCAGAACCCACTCACCAGAGAGGGTCTTGGCACAGTTCTTATCCCCACGGAGGTCATGGTCCTGGTCCCAAGTGGAGAAGGGCAGGGAGAGGCCCTCAGGCGTGACTGTGGTGGCACCCAGCTTACTGGCTACGGGTGCTGTGAGTTGCAGGCTGTAGGCGGTGTCCTCGCCCCCCAGATGGACAGGGAACTGCAGTGACTCTGCATTGCCATCCCAGTCCTGCAGCTGCACGGCCAGACGGCTGCTGCGGTCCCCTGTGATGTGGTGCACCTTCTCCAGGCCTAGCCAGAACTCACCTGGAACAGAATAGGCTGCTCAGTGAGGCAGACCTAGCTGTGCAGCCCACTTCTCCTCCCCAGCCTCTGGCCCCACTAGAAACACCCACCTTGGGGATCCCCGAAGCCAGCTTTGTAGGCTTCCCAGGGCCGGTCAAAGTCCACAGAGCCATCTTGGCGCCTCTGAATTACTGTCCAGCCCCCATCTGCCCAGAAATGTACAAAGTCACCAGGAGGTCCTTCCTCACGGAACTCTGGCTCCCAAACCCCAAGCCCAGGGAAGGCAACACCACCATAGTATTCCTCCCTTTCATCCCAGAAGGACCAGAGAAAGAAGGGTCTCAGGAGGAATATTGTGAGAGGGGCTATAGGCAGGGGGATCAGGCCTGGTTCTCTATCCCAGGAACCCAGCAGGGAAGGAGGGAGGGAGTGTGCAGTGGAAATCTGCAAGACCTCTCTGGGTCCTCTCCTGCAGGTATTAACTACAGAACCCATTCCTGGCCTTGTAATGGGAGTCAGTGGGGGAAAAGGGTGCATTTTTTTTTTTTTTTGTCTTTTTGTTTGTGGAAAAGGGGTCTTGTTCTGTTGCCCAGGCTGGAATACAGTGGCATCATCACAGCTCATTGCAGTCTCGAACTCCTGGGGTCAAGTGATCCTCCTGCCTCAGCCTCCTAAAGTAGCTGGGACTACAGGCACCCACCACTGCTACACCCAGAAAGCACTACATTTTAAAGAAAAATAAGAGGGCCCTTGGCAAGAGTCCTCCTTGGCAGGCCAGGACATCCTACCTGAAGTCATCTTGCAGTTGACCAGGAATGGCAGGGACCCCTCAGGCTGGATTTGAAATAGTCCACTCTGCCTCTCGCCTTCCTTGAACAGTTCCTGACAGTCCCGGGGTAGCCCTGCAGGTAGACAAAGTAGGGGGTTGAAATGGAGGAGCAGACTGTGGGGGGTCTCAGGAGATGCCCTAGGGGTTGGGTGACAGAGAGGTGAAGAGTAAACCTGATGTCATGACCCACCTTTGACAACTGCCTAAGCTCTTCCATGGCTCCCTATGACCTTCCTCGGCATGGTCTACTAGGAGAAGCCTGTGTGCCCATGCTCCTTCCTCCTATACGACACCCCACCCTCTCTGGCCACATGGGCTTCCTTCCCATCTGGGCAACTTGTTCTGCCTGGGACTCTTCTGTGGCCTCAGCTTCTGCAAGGATGTCTTCCCTCACCCCCAGACTTCCTCCCTGTATGGGCATAGAGGTCTATTTCCCACCTCCCCAACAATGTAGCCATCTGGTGGGCCCTCCCCTACTCCACAAATATAACCCCCTCAACCACTTAATGGGACCCGGTAGGAGGGTGCTCTTTGGGCCAGTGACAACCAGCGGCTCTGCCCAGTCCAGCACCAGCATCTGTGCAGATCCAAGCACACAATAAAGGCTCGATGAATGAATGATCCAGAAAACAAAACCAGAGCAGGAGGGCAGCAGCTGATCTGGCGTGGTGGGGGTTTGAGGGGATAAAGGCTCCGCCCAGGGTCCCAGCTATCAGAGGGAGAGAGAGGGGAGGAGGGAGGAAGAAGGTTAGTGCTGGACAGTCCTTGGAAAGAATCACTCCCAGCCCAGCCAGGAAAGTAGGGGAAAGGTCAAGTGAGTTGCACAGCAGTGGTGGGGGTGGGGGCAGGCCCAGAGTGATCAAGGACATTTTCCGGCCCCTCAGGCAGCTCCCCTTTCCCCTACTTTTCCATCCCCTTCAATCAGGACAGGCACAGGGCCAAACCACCAATGTGGCTTCCATTCGTGCCAGCTGTTTGTCTCCTCAGCTCTGAACTTTTGCCTACTTGGCCTGGCTGAGCCCAGAGTCTGGGAGTCCCAAGCCCACAGGACATACCCCACATCCAAGTTGGGACCTGTGTCTGCTGCTAGCCCCAGAAGCCCCTCATTACCCCCTCCTCTGGTGATTGTCTGGGAAGATATACTGACTGCTCACCATCTAGAAGTATGAGCCTTGGGTGGAGGGGGAAAGGAGAAGGAATGCTGGGAGGGGACAGAGCTGGAAGGCAGCCACTGACTCTGGAGCCTGAGGCGGGGATCCGAACTCTCTCCTAGTTGGCTTAGATAGCCACAGATGCAGAGGAGGAGGATCCAGGGAAGCTGGGTATGAGGCGGTGAACTTAAGATTGGGAACTGAAAATTTGTGTTACACACACAGACATGCTGAAATTTGAGATTAGGATGGCTTTGGGAATAAAGGACCTAAAATTTGTGATGGTGGCAAAAGCCCACTTTCTGCGGGGGCTGGTGGGGAAGAAGGCTGAGGACAGGAAAAAGGAAGGAGAGGGTTCTGTGATCGGGAGCTCTGCATCTGTGAGATGCAAGAGCGAGTGTTTCTGGCCTAGAAGCTGGGTGTGTCCATGCCCCCGTGCCCCCTGCAAGAGGGTGATCCACATTCCAAGAGACTGTGGGGAGCCCACATTCAGAACCCCCTTACTTGGTGGCCTCTCATCAGTCACACACTCCTCCCCCACCCAAGGTTCTAACCTTAAGGAATACATCCCTGAGCTGCACTGTGGTCTGCTAAGCCCCCTATGCAGCTCAAGTCCCTCAGGATCTTCTTTCCCAGCCCCAGCTCCAGAGAGTGGCCAGTAGGGCTTGGGGACATTCCACTGGCTAGCTGGGAAGAAGAGTGGGGGGACCTGGTAGGACAGAGTCAAAGCTGAGTAGGGAGATGCCTCCCTCCATCAGCCCTTCAGACTGGAGAGCCCACAAGGACCCAAGGCCAGGACCTCTCTCCTTCTCCTTAAGGTAGACTTGACCAGGAACAGGGGAGGGCTCAGTGGACCTGCCTGAGGACAGCAAAAGGGCCAGACACTCACTGTGCAGGTGGCTGGCATTGTGAGCTGGGCCAACAAGCTGGGCCGTCTTAGGCAGCCTCTTTTTTCTGGCAGGCTTGGTCATCCCATTGTTCAGGTGTGTGGGGACCAGGAGGTCAACCTGGGATGGGACAGGTGAGGGCTAGCATCAGGTACAGCTGGCTCAAGCTGCCTGGCCTGCCTGGCTGCACAATCGGACTCACAGGTCCAGTTTTGACAACTTCCCTCCCCTCCTGGGACAGGCCTCCTACCTGGCTCTGCAGATGCTGGATTCTCAAGTGCTGCTTCTCCAGGTGCCGCTGCTGCTGGGCCACCTTCTGGAACAGTTGCTCGATCCTACTGTTCTGAGCCTTGATCTGTGTCTGGGGAAGGGTGAAAGCCTTGGTGAGGACCTAGCCGTCTGCCTCCATCTTCTCCATTCATCCACCCGCCCTTTTCCAAATCTCCACCCTTTGAAGCCAGGGCAGGGGAACCTAGAGAGCTCCGGTTGCTCTCCCTTCACGTCCACACTCTCCCAGGCTAGAAGAGCCGGTAGGGATGCACGTACCTGCAGGCTGCGGAGGGCCCCGGGGGCCACCTCCTCGCCCGGAACCAGGCTGTCCAGGTCTTGAGGGGGCGCTGCGGATCCCCCGGGGCTCTGGCAGGCTGCCCCGCAAGTGCTCAGGCGCCGCTCCAGCGAGCCCAAGTGACCGCGGGTACGCTCCACGTGTTCCCGCAGTCCCTGGCCGAGCTGTAGCAGCCCGTGCGCCAGCACATTCATCTCGTCCCAGGACGCGAAACGCGGCGACTCTGGCGGCGCGGGGTGGCCCTGAGCGCCCAGCAGCAGACCGGCGGTGGTTGCGCACAGCACCAGGGCTGCGCCGGCAGTGGGCGGACAGCGCATCCTTTCAGGCAGCCTGGAGCCGGGACGCGGAACCTCCGGGACTCAGGGCCTCCAGATGGCAAGGGCTGGAGATGCGTGGGACCTAGTGGAGACTCGCTGGGGTGCAGAAGTCTCTGGAGAGGACAGGATCGCAGCTGCAGGCCCGCTCAGCTCGGCTTGTTCCCGCGCCGCCCCCAATACCCCTTTTATAAGCAGGATGAGGGGAATAGGAGGCGGGGCGCTGGGAGTGCCCGGGGCGGGGAGTGTAGCCGTGGGTGGGGTCCTGTGCGTTGCGGGCCTCTGAGTTCTGTGAGCTGGGGGCCACTCTGGGGGTGCAAAACTCTGGCTACCCTGACCCCGCGCTAGACTCTGGCGGGCCTTCCTCTGCGATCCATGGGAGAAGTAACTCTCTTTCTACCCACGATTCCTTTCTAGGCTCCGGAATTCCAAGGTCCTCCATCCCGCCCCCTTGAGTAGTGGGGAAAGGTCTCTAGCGCTGGCAGCTCCTGGACGGCGTTCCTGACGCCCTACCCCGAGCAGAAAGGGCAGTGGGAACAGCTAATAAGCAAAATCTCTCCCCAGTGCTTTGAGTTCAGCGGGCAGGCGGGCGTCTTAAAGGTCCCCTACAATAAAGGCTTCGTGTGATTTCTGCCCATCCCCAAGACAACATGGGACATCTCCGGGCTCCCACGCTCCATCTCCAGCCAAGGGTTCATCATTGCAGGTGTTTCTGTGACATTCTCTGATTTTCTTGTTCTCCCCTGCCTCTCCTCTCAAATTATGAATGCTCTAGAAACAGGACCTGGGCCTGTTTTGTTTAGCCTCCAGCTGAGAGTCTCACCCTCATTGCCTACCCTTTCCCACCAGGGTCTTCAGTGTCCCAGTCTTTGCCTATGTTAAAGCCAAATCTAGGAAACAGAAAAAAAGGAAGGCTTCCTTCATTCACTCATTCAATAAAGAGAACTGCTGCCCTCTCAGCCCAGGCCCTGTGTGAAGCCTGGTGGAGAGACTCCAACACTCTGAGTCTGGAGTAGAGGCAGGGTTGGAACAAAAGAAGTCCTGTGTGAGGCTGTGGGGTGGGACAGCATTCATGCCACAAGGTTAAGCATTCATTCAACAAACTTGCACTGACCTCTTCCCCCATCTTCCCCATTTATTCCCCTATATCCTGTCAGGAAGGGGAGGCTGGCACAGAAAACACCCTTCTGCCAGGAAGAATCCCAGGGCAGTTTGGCTCAGAAGAACTGAGCTGACTCAGCAGGGCTTGGAGCCAATTCAGCCTGGAATCTGAAAAGTGCACACCCCAGGGCTGACGTGCAGGCCACCACTCCTACACTTAGACCCGCCAACTGGGCCAGGAGCCAGGATGACTGATCCCAACAGCAGTAACAGACAGATGGGAATGGCAGGGAGGAAAACCCCAGCAAGGAGCAGGTTTCAATGTTCACCACCTGGCCTATCTACCATCCCTCAGCCTCTCTGAGTAGGAGAAATAGTTATCCCAGGCAATCCCAGAGTACCATCTCTCCTCTTCTGCTGCTTATTACACTGAGACAAATGATCAGAGACTTCCCAACCCAATGGGATTTTCATGAGCCACTTTTCAGGGATTTCTTCTTAGAGGAAATTCCTATTAATATGAGCAACCTGTGATGTAAATGGCATTAGCAAGTTGACCTGTGAGCTGGAATCCCTCAGCAGGAAAGGCAATTATTTAATATTTTAACTTGGGAATACATACTTAATCACGAATGGTCCAGGATGTCTCATTCAGTGGTGATGGAGGAAGAGGGATGGCCTGAAGCCACGTCTCCAGGGAATAGACTAGACGATAATGTATTTAGTAAGTCCCTCATTTGTATATTTTTCCAGTTTTGCTTTTTAAAAAATAGAGATGGGATCTTGCTATGCTGCCCAGGCTGGACTCTAATTCCTAGGCCCACATAATCCTCCTGACTCAGCCTCCAGAGTCCCTAGAACTACATGCTCAGCTATTTAACAGTTTTTGTTATTACACATACTGGCATGCTTATCTTTGCCCGGGCATAGGAATAATAAGATGAATTGAAGAAAGTAAAATTAATGTGCTAGGTTAGACCTCCAAGACTGGCATTTACACTTTTTTTTCCTTTTTTTGTGACAGAGCCTCACTTTATCACCCTCGGTAGAGTGCTGTGGCATCACAGCTCACAGCCACCTCTAACTCCTTGGCTTAGGTGATTCTCTTGCCTCAGCCACCTGAGTAGCTGGGACTACAGGTGCTGGCCACAATGCCTGGCTATTTTTTTGTTGCAGTTGGCCAGGGCCAGGTTCAAACCCGCCACCCTCGGTATATGGGGCTGGCGCCCTACTCACTGAGCCACAGGAGCTGCCCTACATTTTTTTTTTTTTTGAAGACAGGGTCTTGCTTATTGCCCCGGCTAGAGTACAGTGGTGTCCTCACAGCTCACGGCAGCCTCCAACTCCTGAGCACATGCCACCTTTCTGCCTCAGACTCTGCAGAAGCTGGAACTGCAAGTGTACCCCACCATGACCCACTAATATTTAAAATTATTTTTGTGGAGATGGGGTCTTACTATGTTGCTCAGGTTGGTCTCGAACTTTTGGCCTCAAGTGATTCTTCTGCCTTGGTATCCCAAAGTTCTGGGATTATAGCTATGAGCCACCATGCCCCACTGGCATTTACACTTTTAAAATATATTACCAAATTGCCATCTAAAAAGGTTATATTATGTTACCCCAGCTACAGGTAAGGAGTTATGGATGCAAGGAATATGTTTACCAAAGCCTACATACTCTCTTCTAAATCGTGTTCCTATTAATCAGATCTGGTGGCCCATGCCTGTAGTCCCAGCTACTTGGGAGTCTGAGTTAAGAGGATAGCTTGAGGAGTTTAAAGTTTCTGTGAGCTAGCCTGGGTGACAGAGTGAGAGTCTGTCTTAAAAATAAAATAAATAAATAAATAAATAAATAAATCAATCATGCTCCTACAGGTGACTGGGACTCCAGAGTTCCTTGTCCTTCCAGCATCTCCATGTGTCTCTTCCTTAGGACCACCCTCACAACAGCAGACCAGGTTGCCTGAGTGCCTTATTGTGGGCCCAAAGAGGGCACACAAAGATGGCCCTGGGCTGCGGATCAGGGAATCTTCTCAGTGTGCCTTGGTGTGGACTTCTAAGGAATCTCAGAATTTTGAATTAACCTGCCAGAATTCTCTTTTTTCTTTTCTAGAGCCAGGGTCCCTGTATTGTCCAGGCTGGAGTATAGCGGTAAGGTAACATCCCACAGGCGCCTTGAACTCCTGGGTACAAGCAGTCCTCCTGCCTCAGCCTCCTGAGTCTCTGGGACTAACTTCAGGTGTGCACCATCACCATGCCTGACCCAAACCTGGTGGAATTGTATCAAGTTTATGTTTGAAATTTGCCACAATGAAATCTTAGATATGGGAGTTAAGAAGGAAGAAGTGACTGCTTAGTAGGTACAGGATTTCCTTCTGGGGTAATGAAAAAGCTCTGTAGGCTGGGTATGATGCCTCGTGCCTATAATCTTAGCACTCTAGAAGCCTGAGGCAGGAGGATGACTTGAGCTCAGGAGTTTGAGACAGGCCTGAGACCCTGTCTCTACTAAAAACAGAAAAACTAGCCAGGTTTGGTGGCCTTAGCCTGTTGTCCAACCTCCTAGAAAGGCTGAGGCAGAAGGATTCCTTGAGCCTGTAAGTTGAAGGTTGCTGTGAGCTAGCCTGAGCAACAGAGTGAGACTCTGTCTGGAAAAAAAAAAAAAAAGAAAGAAAGCTCAGGATCTAGAAAGTGTGTTGATTGTGTAACATCATGAATGTACTTAATGCTACTGAATTTTATACTTTAAAATGGTCTTACCCAGGCATGGTGGTGCATACCTGTAGTCCCAGCTATTCAGGAGGCTGAGGCAGAAGGATCGCTCAGGCCCACGAGTTCAAGGCTGCAGTGAGCTATGGAGAGGCCATTGTACACCAGTCTGGGAGATAGAGGGAAACTCTGTCTAAAAAAAAAATTAAATCTAATTTAAAATTTAAATCCTGGCTCAGTGCCTATAGCTCAGCGGCTATGGTGCCAGCCATGTACCTCAGAGTTGGCAGGTTCAAATCCAGTCCGGCCTGCCAAACAACAATGACAACTACAACCAAAAAAATAGCTGGGCATTGTGGCGGTGCCTATAATCTCAACTACTTGGGACTCTGAGGCAAGAGAATCGCTTAAGCCCAAGAGGTAGAGGTTGCTGTAAGCTGTGTTGCCAGGGCACTTGATGGAGGGCAACATAGTGAGACTGTCTGAGAAAAAACCAAAATGTGTAAAATTTAAATCCTTTTTTTTTCTTTTTTTTTTTGAGACAGAATCTCAGGATGTTGTCCTTGGTAGAGTGCCATGGTGTCACAGCTCACAGCAACCTCAAACTCTTGGGCTTAAGTGATTCCCTTGCCTTAGCCTCCCAAGTAGCTGGGACTACAGGCACCCACCACAATGCCCAGCTATTTTTTTGTGGTTGTTAGCTACAGTTGCTGAGCCTAAATCCCTTTTTTGTTGTTAAGATGAAGGTCTCACTATGTTGCCCAGGCTGGGTTGAATTTCTGGGCTCAAGAGATCCTCCCTCATCAGGATCCTGGGTCAAATAGACTGAGGCAGGGCATGCGAATAGCATGCTCAATATTTATGAATATAGCACACAGGCCTTGCAAATGCTGGGGATGGGCTTCATATATATATATGCGTGTGTGTGTGTGTGTGTGTGTGTGTATGTGTGTATATACTTAAAAAAATTTTTTTTATTTTTAAGGCTACTCAAATGCAGTAGTGAGAAGGGGGAAAAGAGCAGAACCAAGTTCAATTCAGACTGTCTGGGAATAGGCTTCTTTTTGGCACTGAGGATTCACTGCAAATCAGGATCCCATGTGGTCTGCAAGGAGGATTTAGTTTTGGGGGGTCTAACCTAGTACAGACTGACTTCCTTCATTCAGCAAATATTGATTGAGTACCTGCTGTGTACCAGGCCCTATGTTATATGTGAGGTATAGAGCCCTGAGCTAGTAGACATGGTCCTGCCCTTAAGAACTCACACTTCCCTGGATAGCCCAAGGTCCAGGGTGAATGAGCGAAGTGGATTCCAGCTGCAGTTAAGCTGATTTGAGTCATGTTTTG